CCCTCGGTTCAGGTATCAGTACCTGGGCACAGGGTGTTTTTCCCTCGGTTCAGGTATCAGTACCTGGGCACAGGGTATTTCCCCTGGCTGTGCTAGCAGAGCTGGCTGTGCCCTGCTCCAGCCCCTCTCCTTGGCATTATTCACTCGCAGAGTGCCGCAGCCCGGCCGGAGGGGAGGCTGCCAGCTCCGGCCCCTGACGTAGGGCTTTGTTCTAATTTGGGGATGCAGTGTGTGTCCATCTTTGAGTTGTGCTGCTGGCTTCCTTTCCCCTGCCTTTGTCTGGCTGGCACATGTCCCTAGCAACTTTCTGCAAGTGCAGACCAATAGGACAAAAAATAAATTAGCCGTTTCAGCATGGCAGGCTTTGGCTGCCCAGAGCCCTTGTTCCTTGCCTGGAGAGCTTCTATAGCAAAGCAATTTCCAATGAATAATTAGGCAGTCACTTCCATAGAAGTTAACATTATGTTATTTGAAATTGCAGGTTCAGCATGAAGCTGATTGCACAAAAGATTACAGGCTGAGGAGGATCAGTCCCAGAGTGTTTGTGCACAAAATGACTACTTGCAATGGCAGAATTATTGCTGTTTTCCAAGGAGTTTGTTTCGGTGCCGTGTTTGTGTGGGCTGCTGTTAATTTGCTGGAAGCCCCAGCTCAGCTCTGGAGTCTGGGCTGGAAGGGCTCTGTTGCTGCAGGACTTTACTCTTTGCCCAAGCCTTTATGACCCTGGCTCAGGAACCTCAGAGGATGTGGAGCGATGCAGAAAGTGGTGATTGGGATGTGGCTGGGAGGTTTTGGGAATGGATGCAAGGTTTGAAGGCTGCTCTCTTGCCTTTCCTGATGGAGCTCTTCAGGTAACACCTCTGGGCAGTGTTTTCTCCTGTGTTCTCACATATCTGTTTGCTTATTTGGCTTGTCACCAGCTTTTTTTTCAGTGTGTGCTTCTTGCTGTGTCTTTTTGGGGTTATTTGTTACCTGAAAAACAAAAGGAAAATATATTTACACTTGGATTACTGACGATTTGGACGAGGGACAGCCTGTGTGTTCCAGCATCAGGAATGCACCACAGTGGGGTCATGATTTATCCTATAGCAGGCTTGTGCATAGCTAATTACACATGTGTTGCCTTGACTGGTATTTGATTTGATGCTGAAAGAAGTCAGTAGAAGTGATAATGATTTCGGTGTTAAAATTACAAAACTGAGGCTGAGATTCCTGCCACAAATAATAAAATGTTACGTCTTATGTAATGTTAATGTCTAAAACACACTTACTCTGGTGTCAGAGACCACAGTGATAATGAGTAAGAAAACAAATGCAGAGTCTGTGAACGGAAGTTTGTCAAGCTGTACTTTGGAAGTCACACTGAAGTCCTGCTTTCTGCTTAGTCTGGTCTTTCAGTCTTTTGTTTTTCTCTTCCCTCCCATTTTCCTGGTGTCGGTGGCCTCAGGAAAGGTGGAGAAGGTTTTCCCTGTGCCCTAAAGCCAGGGAATTTGACTGCCTTGGAGAAGGGGCTCGTTTTGTAACAAGTGAGTCCATGGCAGTGATTTTTATTAATGAAATAGTCTCCTTGCTAACTAACAGGGTAATTTGTGGCTGTGTTTATCTTGCTCTTTGCATCTGCTGATGAGCTGTGGGATTTCCAAACCCCCTTTCCTTTGGGGTGCACATCCCTGTTCCCTGCACGGAGCTGTTGAGTAATTGATGACAGCTTTGGTGAGCACTAGGGAGGTATTTCATGTGCTTTAGACTTCATTGAGTAATTTAATACCTCCCAACACGGTGTAGAACAAATTAGGGAGCAGGTGCTGAGTGGAGCTGTCCTTGGGCAGAGCCGGGAGCGGCGGCTGGGCCGGTCTAAGCCAAGGGGAGATCCTTGGCCTGGTGTTCCCAGCCTTTGCTGCTGCATCATCTCTCTGTTTGTTTGGACTCCTTTTTTTTTTTATACTGTGGAGGGAATCTTTCAGTTTGAGTGTGGTTTTGATCGCTGTAAATCTTCCCCTTGCAGAAGTGCTGGGTTTGGGTTTGTTTTGCCAACATGGCTCTGAGTAATGGAGGGATTTTGGTAGAGTGTTGAGCAATGTTTAGTTGACACTTTTAAAAAAAGAAAATCCAGCCCTTTCCATGGCCTAGTTTATAGTAACTGAAAAAAACTGGCACGGAGAACATTTACCAGTTGAAAATCCAGCAGGTTTGTTTATAGTAGCCACGATTCAGTATTTAACTGCCAGGATAAAAATAAGCAGGACACGTGGCTGCAACGTCCCGAGAATCTGCCTCTGATTTGGGAATGGGAAGGGCATGGCCACAGGGGTGCCACACCAGCCTTGAGTGGAGGTGCTGGAGTTCAGGGACATCTGTGCTTCACTCCCAAACGTGCACAGTGCTGACGCCACTTTTCCCTTGGAAACGTTCAATATTCTGGTTTCTGCTGGTGAAAATCAGGGAAAGGGAGGTGCGAGCGATGAGCAGGCAAGGAGTTATTCTATTTTTTCCTTCCTTAAAGCCAGGTGAGTGGTCCTTGCTCCTGCCTCTCTCCTCTCGGCCAGGGACATCTTCCTCTGTCCCAGACATCCTCCTGGGGAAGAGCAGAGGGCAGAGCCCCTCAGTGCTGAGGGTGCAGGAGCTGCCCCTCGAGAGGCATCTCACACTGGCTCTAGGAACTGCTGCTGTGGTTTCTGTGCTCTCCTTTCTGTGCCTCACTTCTTTCTGTTCCTTCTCTCTCACCCTCTTCTGAACTCGGGCTGTGCTTTCTGGGTGCAGAGGCAGCTGCTGCTGCTGAGCCATGCTCTGTGTGCAGCGCTGGAGCTGCCACTGGCAGCACCTTCACGGAAAATCCCAGAAAGGTTTGGGTGGGAAGGGACCTCAGAGCCATGGCAGGGACAGCTCCCACTGTTCCAGGTGCTCCCAGCCCTGTCCAGCCTGGCTTGGGCACTGCCAGGGCTCCAGGGGCAGCCCCGGCTGCTCTGGGGACCTGTGCCAGGGCTGCCCACCCTGCCAGGGAAGGATTTATTCCCAATATCCCATCTAACCCTGCCCTCTGGATTCACTTTCTCTTACACTTGGAAAAATATTTGACAAGGATTACGAGAGCTTCTGTTATCTGTTTGGAAATAATTTTGATTTCTGTGACTCCAGAGCTGCTAAAAAGAAATATTTTCAAAAAAAACAGTATAGTAGGTTTTCATTTAAACTTCCTATGATTCCAGAGGAACAGCTGATTATTTTTTTTATCCCTGGAAAAGAAAGGATGAAGTGCTGAGCCTGTAAAAGACAGCCCTTTGCCTGGCAGAGCAGCAGGTGTAGCAGTGCTGTGGTTACTGTCTGAAGATCAGCACTGCTGCTGCTCAGTGTTACTGAGCAGAGGGTTGGGCTGCTGGAAGTGTTAAAGCTTCCCAAGCTCTTGGACAAGGAGCCAGCAGGTCCTGGGGCAGGGGGACGTGCTGCTGGGAGTTGTTCTGATCCCCAGGACTGTCTCAGAATCCCAGAGTGGTTTGGGCTGGGAGGACCTTTCCAACCCCAGCCACAAACCTGCTGGATTCCCTGAAATAATTGCGCTTTGTAGGTGTTGCAGAACTCGATGCAACCTCAAGCATGGTTATTTTCAGTTTGTCTGTTGTAAGTGAAGTCTTGCTTGGAGTATTCTAGGGAGGAGAAGTCCACAGGAGCAGAGTGGTTTGGCTTTAGCACTACAGAGATGCTTTGCAAATGCTGACACTTGAAAAACTATCAACTCTTTTTTTAATTCTTTTTTTCAGTTCCTGTGGGGAGCCTGGAAGAACTTTCAGTAGAGCTGCTAACACTGATGAGAGATCTTTTATGCCAAGGTAAGAGTTTTTTAGTGTTCTCATCATACTTTAAATGAAATTTCTGTGAACATTGGAGTGGGTAATTGGTAAGTGAAGTTGCTACACTCACTCTGTGCTGTTTGCTTATTTTGGTTCATGCTTCTCTCTCCCCACTGCCCAAATTATAAACTTCGTGATGAGCTGCTGAAACTCGAGAAACAGAAGCAGCTTGCTTTTGCACCAGGTTTCTGTCCTGAAGGGCCCCAGCCCTTGTCCCCAACGCCTCCCCAGCCTCTGCTCCGCTCCTTCCTCTGCTTGGGAAATACCCTCCAGTTGTGCTGCTGGAGTTGTGCTGCTCCAGTTGTGCTGCTGGAGTTGTGCTGCTCCCTGGGCTGCAGCAGGGAGGATGGCTCTGCAGGCTGGAGAGTGCAGAGGGCTTGGCTGGGCACAGGAGCAGCTGAGTGGGAGCCACGTCTCAGCTTGGAGCTTCAGCTGTGTTTGCATCCACCCGTGCTGCTTCTGCCTGCACAGCCCTGGGTGTCACCACAAATACCCTGCAGCTTTTTTATTGACACAAATATTGTGCAGCTTTTTTAGTGACACAAATATTGTGCCACTCTTTTTATTGACACAAATATTGTGCCACTTTTTTTATTGACACAAATACCCTGCAGCTTTTTAGTGACACAAATATCCTGCAGACCTCTCTACCTGCTCCCAGGGCAGAGCCCTTCCCTTTTCTGTCAGGAAGGAGCTGAGCAGCTGGGGGCTGCTGCTGTGGATGGGTGGATGTTCATTTCTGGCTCTTCCTGGGCAGTGCTGGTGACGGCAGCAGCAGAGCAGAGATGCTCCTGGTAAAGAACACCGAGCACAGGTGGATTCTGGTGGATCAGGTGTGCGGTGTAGCAGCAGTTTTTTTGTGACTGTAGATGCCAGAGCCCTGTGATTTATTACCCTGGGGGTGGTTTGGAGAGTGCTGGAGTGGCAGAGGGAGCTGCAGCTCAGGCAGTGCTGGGGTGGGACTGTGCTCTGTGCCCCTGCTTGTCCTGCTGGAGCTCAGGGGCCGTGCCTGGCGAGAGGAGCAAGGACACACACTCAGCTGTGCTTTGTTCTTGCACTGCAGCATTCAGAAGTAATGAGACCAGTTTCACAACATTTACTGTTATTTTTTTTTACACTCTTCAGTGATCATACTCCTGACTCTAAAGGAACACTTAGCACCCATAGTTTAATTCCATTTGGAAGTGGAGCCGTTGCTTCGCAGCATGTGACTCTGCTACAGAGAGCTCTGGATGGAAATGAATGCTGCTGTGTCTGACTGTATTTAGGTGGGCTTCAGCAGTTGCCAAATGAAAAGTTGGCTGGGATGCAGCATAGTAATTTCTTGAGCACTCTATTCATGTTGTATAAACAGATAACATTAACATACTTGTGAAAGAGCTACAAGATAATTAAGGCATGTGGGGTTTACAGTAATAAGGCTCGTGCCTTTCAGGATCTTGGTTTCCTGTTGCACCTGAAAAAAAAAAATCAGCAAATACTGTAGAGAAGAAATGAGAAGTTAGTCTTGTGCTGCTCCCAGCTTAAACTTTCCCACAACTATTTTCTACTATAAATAAGTGAAATAGTTCACAGCTAAATTTAACCCTTAGCTTGATTGCTTTCTGAGTTTTCTTTGGTGGAATTGACTGTGAGACTGTAGGGAAATGAAGAAAAACTGGATCAATAAATTGCATTTATGCTTTATAAAAGATGCATCAGCTTTTAGTTTCTAGGGGTTATCAAAGGGAAAATAATGAAGTGGAATTCCCCTCTCTTTCTCATTCAAAATCATGATTTTTTGAAAGAAAGGAAGTGAATGTTACTTCTCAGGGAAATGATCAAGCAGAAGAGCTCCCAGTTCCCAGAATTTAGCCAGGGTTGTTGTCAATGTCCTAGAGTGCACAGACATTGCCTGCTCTGCTTTTAGACAGTTTCTGGAAAACCCCTTTCTGTTTGACTTGATTTCACAACTTGCAGCTAGGCAGCTGCAGCTCACGTGGGCTTCAAGAGTTGAAGAAAAACCTCCTCCAGGTGCTTAAACTGATGGGCTCACTGGTTTCTTGAGCCTTGCTCCCTCTCCAAGGCTGGGGTGAGGGAAGGGCAGCTGGGCTCTGTGACTGCAGAGCCTCAGCACAGGCAAGTCCTTTATTTCTGTTATTCTGGCTTAAAAGTTAGTGTAAAGTCATGCTAAACTGAGCCCAGAGATTTGTGTCTCTCTGCGGCGGCACATGGGGTTTTTGAGTTTTGTTTAACCCATACTTGGGTGATGTTCAGCCCCTGGCACAGGCTGTGGGGATGTTTGGGGAGGGTCCCAGCTCCCTGTTGGTCCCAGTTCAGCTCAGACCAGTGGTGGGTGAGCAGGAGCACATGGGGTTCCTCTTGACTCTGGCATCTTCCCTTGGGAGTCCAAATGACAGAAGAGAACCTGCCCTGTTGAATGATGACATAAACTTGAGGCACAGATTGTCAGGGAGTTGTCCACATTGCACAGCTGAACATACAGCCCCTGTTCTTCACAGGCTCCTGAAGCATTTCTGTACCAAACTCCTCGGAAGACGTTTTTGTTTTCAAAGGCTGTGGCCAGGGAACCCAGAAAAGCTGTGGCAGGTCCGTCTGGAAGGCCGGGGAGCCCAGAAAAGCTGTGGCAGGTCCGTCTGGAAGGC